GGAGCCCCCCCCACTGCTTCCTACCCCGGCCTCCCCCCGGGCTGCCGCAGCTATTGGACGCCGCCGCCAGCCAGACGCAGGCGGCGGCGCAAGGGGCGGAGCGAAGCCGTCGGAGCTGGCCGCGGTGCTGAACCTCTTCAATCATTACCACACTGTTGTTAAGGGTTCGTGATCAGGAAAGATCCGAGAGGATTAGACACTTTTGACTTGATAAAAGCCAATCAGAATGTTGATTGAAATGATAATATGTTTAAAACCATGTTGTTGTTACAGAGACCAAATGTATATTTATTCATACATTCTCAAAGATCATGGTGGAAATTGAAGCCAAATATGCATTGTTTATGTTTAATATTCTTCCAATATATGTTCAGTGCTCTATTTTCATATGAAATTACCTCATATTAAATAATAAATAATGTTTTTCTTGTGTACTCTTTAATATATATATACATTTGACACCACAACTTTCAGACAGAAATTGTAACAAAGAGAACAACAACTGTTACATACTATACATAAACAAGTTGAATAATAATAAAAAAAACAACCTTAAAATTGGAAAATACCATCTCGTTGCACCATTTTTCATTTAATAAATTACAAACAGCGCCTGTGGCTGAGTTATTGTTTGCCCGGCAAATTAATCAAGAAGGGGCGCACAGGAGTTTTTGAAGCAGACGGATCTACACTTTGGGAGTTTTGAATTATCTGCCAAAGTGTTGATTCATCTGCTTTTGTGCCCCCTTAACAATAACTTTGCCTCGCCTTGTGCCGTGATGTGTTTTCATATTAATCTACAAAGCTTGATGATGTAAAAAAAAAAAAAAAAAAAAAAATTAAAAAGTTACCAGTGACGTGTTTTTGTTTTCTTTGTGGAGCCACCTAATGGTCAAGACTTTCAAAACTCAAAATTTTTAACATTTCCAATGCTTAAAACTTCTAAATTCCTAAAACTCCTTGTTGCCCAAAACTATAAATCACTCCTGAAAACCCATCTGTTGTCACCGGTTTGTGGTTTTATACATTGGTTTTATTGTTTCCTGGTGTACAGTTTCTCTTTTTTATATATATATTTTATGCCACATCTAGAATATGACTGCTTTATCGCTGTTTTATTGGACGGTGCTCACTTTGTACGACACCTTGGACGACAACAGTTGTCTCTTATATGCCGTGTAAATAAACTTCACTTCCTTCCCAAACAAACCCATATGATCTGACTGTTATGGCTCCTCTGGGCTTCATCACCTCTGCAGCGGCTGCTTTTGCCAAGTTTGTATCATTGTTTTTTTTTGTTTTTTTTAATGGCGCTATTGGTTTTAAAATTCACTCACGTAATATTTCAAACCTGCGTTTCTCAATATTGGGACTGCAACCCCTATGAGGGATCGCCTGGAGTTCAAATGTTTCATATACAGCAAAATAAAATTTAAAAAAAAATCAGGTGAGATGTTGTATTTTTACCATGACTTTAGTGTACATTTTAATGGCATAAAGGTTAAAAAAAAACAAAAAAATATTGTATTTTATATAATTAAATAATTACAGTGGGACATGTTGTGAACCATACTGAGTGGTATATTTATTCTTATGTGTATTATGTGCATCTCTATAAATGAAACTTATGCAAAAGATTCCGATGAGTCACTGAACAGACTGAGGGCAAAGCTGCTCGGCACAGATTTTTCTCACGTGTAATTATATAAAGTGTACAAACACACTGTGCAGACCCCCGTGTGACCTCAGACAAAGAGACGCAGACCAAGCAGTGAATAAGAGAAGACAATAGGATCAAATCGAGGTTTCCTTGATGCAGAGAATCAGCCTTTGTAGTGTATTTGTGCCTCGGTCTGGAGCCTATAGGAAATACATGATAAGTCGGCCTTGTTACTCGAACGTCTCAGGAGGCCGTGTCATTATCCCCCGTCTATTTAGTTAAGCCATCGATTCTTGCCGCTTGGCTTTTCACTTTTTAGGACAACCTGTCAATTTATGGGAGAAAATCCATTCACCTTCACACAGGCCACATGTGCTCTCCTCGTCTCTGGGACATGTTTGTGAATTCATTAAATTAGAAACGCTTGTTTGTTTTTCTGAAGCCGACCTGAGTGTCCTGTTTCTTAAAACGCGAGACGACGGAGCGTCGGTCGCATCAAGATACGGGGTCCAGATGGTAGACGTCTGAAGATACGGTCAAAAAAAAAAAAAAATCCACTTTGTCTGACGTCCAGTGACTTGCATTTCCTGGAATATACGGATGTCCTCATTGGCTAATGTTTACTTGAAGGTTTTTTGCCCTCTCTCTTTCACTCCCTCTCCTCGCTCTTCCTCATCCCTTCTCTATTTAAATATTGAAATGACACTGTAGTGTGTTCGTTTTCATCATGTACTAATGAGGGAAACACACGTATGACTAATGTATGAATGCAGCATGTGGACGTGTTAAGTGCAGTTTAGCTAACTTATTTACATCGATCGGAAAAAAAGCCCTCAGTGAGAAGACTATGTTTTTTTCAAAGTTGAAACCAGATAGCCGGCGTTTTTTGACAGCTTTATAGCTGTTTGAAAAAAAAATAAGGGAAAAAGATAAGATTTCTGTCAATATTTGTGGAGGACGTTGAGGTTGCCTCAGGTGGGCGGCTATCTGTAGGCTGATCAGCGCTGGTTATATAATTGAGATTTTTCTTTTTTTTTTTCCTTTCCGTCTCTTTTCCACTATTTCGACAACTTAGAGAAATAGGAGCCACAGGCTAAAACCAAGACGGACTCATGTTTATTTATCAACTTTTGATTCCTCCATAAACACACACGAACACACACACACATATATATTGCGTATATCTTTGTACCTCCAGGACTTGTCGTCGGGGTCTTGTTTCTGCATGATTCAGTGCAACAGGAAATGCATTATGAATCAGCCTACTTTTTAATCTCTCCCTGTGACCATTTAAAAAGCAGCTCAGATGAACTAATCCCCTATTCAGGAGAGTGACTTATTTATAGATATTGCTTGCCATCTGTTGCTCCCCGCGCGTCTCCACGAACGAGAAGCTCACATTGTCGCAGACACGGACGCAAACATCTGGAGTGACTGTCGTACATCAGTCGCGGCGAAAATCATCATCAGCTAGCTGCTGACAGCCACCGGGGCGGCAGCTCGGCCGCAATCAGACCCCTAAGAAAAGTAGAGTCTGTCGGGTGTAAAGAATGAAGAACAGCAGGCCATTCCAGTGACGGAGTGGAGTTTTGGTCATTAGGAGAATGACAACAACTAGAAAATATCTGGGGATCTCCTGTGCTACCTGCACCCATGCTAGTGACACTGCAAACCGCTTGGTTTTTCTTTTTAAAACAAATGTCTCTCCGTTGAAAAAGGAACGCATGTTTCCCAGAGACCTGACGTGAATGCTAACTGATTTCAAATAAAGTGCTTTTCACAGCTCATACGCTCCCCGGTTTAGACAGGGGTCTTGTCACTTGAAAAGTAATTAGACTCCGACCCGTGTGCAGGTTGATTGCCGTGTCGCCTCGTGTCACATGGATACGTGGGCCGCACTGGATGGCGAGGCAGGGAGCTCTGTCTCCGCTCGGTTTTCGACCGCATGCGCAATGGATCAAACATGAGGGTCGTGGCGTCAACGCCGCCGCCCTTAAAAGAAGCCAAGAGAAAGACTTTTTTTTTTTTTTTTCCACCAGACTGAGTTGCAAATAAGCACCGCGGAGGTTAGCGAGCTACGAGCATCATTATAGACCTTCAAAATGCTTCCATTCCTGATAAAGTTTTGAGGCGTTTGTGAAAAAAAAAAAGAAATGAAATGAGCATCACACGCTGCCTATAAATACTGAAGCAACGCTCCCTAATGTCCTTATGTTTGCAATTACACTCGCACTAATCGTGTTGTGTTTACAGACATTTTCTGAGTTGTATTTATTCAAATTCTGCCAATATCTTTTTTTTTTTATTATTTATATAAAATGCTGCGGCTTCAGCAGTAACTTTTGCCTGTAAAGATTTTTTTTTTTTTCTCTCCCTCATGCG